TTCTGACCACCGGCATCGCTCTGCCCCTGAGGGAGAAGCCAGGGCAAGGACCATCAGGCCTCAAGCTGAGCCTGCCCCCAGCTCAGGGGGGTGGGATCTGGGGCAGGTGGTACCCACCTCGGCACGCGATCGGGCGACGAGGGCCTTGCTGGCATCCGAGTCACGGACGAGGGGCTCGCTGGCAAGCAGGTTCTGCAGGTACTGGTCAGGCAGTGAGACCAGGTGGGTGAGCTCCAGCAGCTCAGGCAGGAACTGGGCTCGGGGCCCCGGGTCGTGGCGCACCCAGCGCAGCACGGCCTCAGCCAGGCTTTGCTCCTCCTGCACCTGCAGCTGGTCATTGGAGAGGTAGACGGCCAACCTCTCCTTGGAAAGCTGGAGGAACTCCTCCTGCCGAGAGACGGCTTCAAAGTTCTCCTGCAAGAAAGACCAAGCCTTGGAGGAGACCTCGGGGCAGCCATGGCTCTCGCCGAACTCACAGATACCTAGGCAATTGGTGGCATCCATCTGCTGCCGGAGGTAGCGGCTGCAGACCTTCTGGACTGTGGGGAAGTGGAGCTGGCTGGAGGTCCGCATCAGGCCCTCCACGTTGCCCTGGTTGATGGTGACCTTCCCCGTGTAGGCGAAGTCCAGCAGCGTCTCCAGTGCGCCGGCATCCACCTCCTTCAGCTCCACCCGTGCCGCAATGCTCTCGGCGAAGTCGCCAGCAAACATGGCGTGGAAGTAGTGGCTGCAGAGGGCCAGGATGCCCCGGTGGCAGGGGAATTCCCGCTTGCCTGCCACCAGCGTGACGTCGGCCAGTTTGGGGTTGGTGCGCAGCCGCTGCAGCCCCTCCAGCATGCCCTGGGCGTGCGAAGGCAGGCAGAAGTCAAAATCGTCCACGTTCCTCACCATGGTGCTGGGGATGGCTGCGGGGCCTCGCTGGCGGACAGAGCCCGAGCAAGAAAAATGAGTCAAAAGGGACAGAGGGAAGGAGGGAGAGAGAAAAGGGGGAAAGAAACTCCAGAAGAGAAGGAGAAAGGGAGAAAAGACAGAAAAGATTGCAGAATGGTGTCACCACCCCGTGGATCCAGCGATGTTCTCTGCTTGAAGTTGTGATCCCCAGATGGCGGGCGGCGTGTGGCAAGGGTGTCCCTGCCAGGGAAAGGCGATGACATCTCCCTCTCTACCCCCCGTCCCCAACTGCACCTTCCCAGCGCCTGGCTTACAGGCACCAGCATGCACAGGAGAAACGCTCCCTGGAGCCCACTCCTGCGGGTGGCAGTGATTTCCCCTCCCCACGCTCCGAGCTGCCCTGCCAGGGGCTGCCACCGATTTTTTCAGAGGTGCGGGGTGGTTTTGGGGTTGGGCTTAGCCCCCTCTCCCGTTCCACTCCCTCCCACTCTCACCTGTCCTCTGCAGCCCCCCGGCTGGCCACCAGCAGGGAAGCAGC